GGAATCCGAGAACACGACTTGAATTACATTCTGCTTGAACTCATTTAACTACATGAAATATATGTTACATTTTTACCCTGCATTGGGTTGTTCCCTGCTTTGACTTACATGACAGGAAGTATTCTGAGCAATATTTTTTCTCAGTGTGGCCTGGGGGTCCATGTTGACGTCTGGGCATTCTGTGTGTGTGTGTGTGTGTATTTCAGCAGCTGTCAACAGCAGTGGGCTGGCACACTTGACACACACAGACAGCAACGATACCAGCACACACACACACAATGGCCCCTGGGGACGAGGCGCAAAGGGTGACAGACGCAGACTGAGGGTGGAACCCACTCTGCCGTATCAAAAGGACTGTCTCTACATACCATGTAAGTGCACTTCGCCCCAAAATGTGTCTATGCTGTACTTTGCAAGTACTGAAATCGCAAAATTGAAATTCATGTAATGCGAAAACAGAGAATGCAGAGATGAGAGAGAGTGATACGGAGGGAGATGAGAGAGAAAGAGCTGATGATGGGAGAGAAAATGTACAGAGTAGAGTGGGGGGAGGGGCAAGATGCTAATAGAGATGGACAGACAGTCAGAAAAAAGGAGGCATACTAAGAAGGGAGGAAGAGAAACAAAGAGAGAGTGGTAATTAAAGAGGAATTCCACCAATGTTTTAAATTATAGCATCATTCAGACAATAAGACGTAAACAAAGTCAGCGGTTTGATGTGAAAATTACAGACACAGATTTCTTTGCAGTGGTGGTGATAGGGGGTTGTGATATCTACGACACAAATATAGCCATTTTATTTACTATCAAAACCACCAGTGAAAGTACACGTCTCCTGAGTTTTATATATAATGTTGATGATGGCAAAATAATGGTAAATTAAAAAAAAAAAAGTTTTCGTATGGGACTATTTTGCCTTAAAGCACCCTGCATGTACTGCTCCACCAAAAGCTTCTCTCAAGACTAGCATAAAACAAAGTCTCAGGCATCACACCATGTATTCATGCCAATTTCATTACCAATGTAATAGTTTCCTGTGAGGTGACTTTTAGAGTGGAATTATATTAAACATGATGCATTTTTTCAAAATGCCTGCATAATTCAACCAATGAGATGTTCAGTTTTTCCAGAATGGTTTGAAGTCAGATTCCTCTCTAAAAGCTCACTCACAGAAAGTTATCACATGAAATGCTTACAAATATGCTGACTGATGTCTACGATTGTTTTGTGATACGAACCCAATTTCAAAAATGTTGAGACAGTAGGTAAAATGCAAATAAAAACAAAAAGCTTTAAAACTAATATTCCTCAGAGAGTGATCGCAATGATTTTATGTATTTCGTCCTCTACAGGGCATCCAGTCAAATCTCTAGCAAGGCCAAAAACCACAATGAATGCCACCGACCCTTCAGACTACACCATATTAAAAAGTGGCATGTTTCTGTGATAGAGACAGCCACATGCGTTTGAGAATATTTTGACAAACTCTTGTCAATAAACAATATCAGTCACTGCGTCCACAAATGCAAGTTAAAACTGTACTTGGCACAGTGGAAGCTAAATGTCAACAATGTCCAGAAACGCTGCCGACTTCTCTGGGCTCAGGCTCAGCTGAAATGGACTAATGCATAGTAGGAATGTGTATTGTGGTCTGACGAGTCAACTTTCAGATTGTTAATGGAAATACTAGCAATGTTGTGTTCTCTGGACCAAAGAGGAAAAGGACCATTCAGACTTTTACCAGTGTAAAGTTCAAAATCAAGGTACTGTCATGGTATAGGGTGATATTAGTGAAGGCACCATTAACACTGAACACATTTTGGAGCAACATAAACCATCTTTTAGATGATGTCTTTTTCAGTGACGTCCTTGCTTATTTCAACAGGACAACACCAAGTCACATTCTACACTGTTACAACAACATGGCTGCATAATCAGAGAGGGCAGGTGCTAGACTGACCTGCCTGACTCCCTTTATGATCAAAATATGACAGTGAAGGCCATGTATGGTTGCACAGCTGAAGAATTGAATAACTAATAAATGGCAAAAAAAATTCTTTCACAACTGGATCATTTTGTGTCTTCAATGCCTACATGTTTATTAAGTGTTGTTAAAAGGAAATGTGAGGTAACACAGTGGTAAACATGTTCCTGTTTTGGAACATGTTGCAGGCTTCAAATTTGGAATGAACATATATTTACAAAAACAAGGAAGTTCATAAGGTAAAACATCAAATATTGTTTTTTTTGTACCAATTTCTATTTAATACAGAATTTGCGTTTTTAGTTTTTATTAGCATTTAACAGAGTTAAGGGTTTACATTATTAAAACATATTTAAGGCAGAGAGGCACATGCAAGTCAAAATGCTCCCCAAAGAAAACATATTTTTTCATTTTTCCTACAAATTTCAAGTTTCATACAAAAACTCTGAAGACACTGGACGCTTTGGATAGTTAAATGACAAGGTTAAATTTGTGTGACACCTGGTTCCTATCACCACCACTGTAAAGGAGTCGGTCAGTCAGTAAGTTTCTCTACAATAAACCATTTCACATCAAGCTACTCTGAATGAGTTGCAACTCAACGACCCTTTAATCTCTTCAGATGTCTGGTTCTTATCAACACCACTGTAATCAATTCTGACTCAGTAAATTTCCCTACAATGGAGCATTTCACATGAAAGCACTCTGAAAGGCTTTGTTTACATCTTAACCATTTAATTAAACAGAAATTCTGACAAATTGCTGAAATTCCTCTTTAAATGAGGAAAATATAGCTCTGAGGATGTGAGGTGGGTTTCTCTCTGTGTTTATCCTCAGCAACAGTTGAAACTCAGCAGGAAATGATCATGTTGCATCACCACTTGCACCATCCTTTCTCTTACTTCTCTGTGTATGCGTAATCAGAAACTGATGCGAATGATGAACTGAGCCTTTATGGCTCCGCTGTTGGCCTTTTGTGTCTGGCTGATGTATCTGTGGCCTCAAAGCTACACACTCACACACACACACACACACTCCACCCCACCCCGCAGACTCTGCCCGGTCACCATCTCCACGGCGACAACCACAGATTCAGCGGCCACTGCAATCCTCACGACTCAGCAGGGGGCTCCAATGATTTCCGCCATGCTGTGAATGCGCCCGTGTGTAGCACTTTACGTCGCACCCAGCAAAATTGCTTTTATCATTGATCCTGCTGACCGAAGGCACTTTGGAAAACAAGTAAACAACCGGCCCAACACACGACCAGCCCACGAGGGAAAGCTCCACTCGTTCATCTCAGACACGCTCGACTCGAACACATTCATGGTTTTGTTACCGACAGTAGTTACTAAAAAAAGAAAATCTATTACAAAACGCTAATTATTTCTCGAACTGAATGAGATTATGTCACCGGATCTCACTACTCATTACTTCCTTTGGACTTTATTTAGAAAGAAATGGTCAAGATCATTTAAAGGGCCCATATAGTACAAACACAATTCCAAAAAAATTAGGCAAGTAGGTAAAATGTGAATCACAATTGAAAGCAGTGATTTGTAAAGCCACTTTGACCTGTCTTTAAACCGAAACAGTACAAAGAAGAGATATCTAATGGTTTCTCATCAACTTCATTGTATATTGTAAATTGCAATTGCAATACATTCCAAAAAAGTTGTGACAACCTTGTTTGGAAAGAGGTAATATAATCATGCTTTGCTACAAGGAACATCCAGTAAAGGCCTAGAAATTAATGAGCAAGTATGGGTCGAGCAAGTATGAGTCCAATTGTTTAAGAACAATGTTCCTCAATGAGTGAGCAAGGATTTTAGATATTTCCCCATCTACATTGCATAATATTATCAAAAGATTCAGAGAATCTGAAACAATCTCAGTGCTTAAAAGCAAGGCCAAAAACCACAGCTGAAAGCCTGTGATATTCAACCCCTCAGATGGCACTGCATTAAAAACCGCCATGCTTCTGTGATGGATATCACTGCATGAGCAAGGAACACTTCGACCAATCCTTGTCAGTAAACACTGTCTGTCACTGAAATCCACAAATGCAAGCTAATTTGTACTATGTACTATGCACAGTAGAAGCCATATATCAACAACATCCAGAAACACCGCCGACTTCTCTGGGCTCAAGCTCATCTGAAATGGACTGAGCTAATATGTACTATGCAGAGCAGAAGCCATATATCAACAGCGTCCAGAAACACTGCCGACTTCTCTGGGCTCAAGTTCATCTAAAATTGACTGATGCAGAGTGAAGACGTACTGTGGCCTGACAAGTCAACTTTTTTGATTGTTTATGGAAATAATGGATGTTGTGTATGGATGTTGTGTTCTCTGAACCAAAGGAGTAAAGGACTATCTAGATTGTTACCAGTGTAAAAATCAAAAGCCAGAGTCTGTCATGGTATGGTGGGGATATAAGTGGGTAACTTGCACCATTAACGTTGAAAGATATATACACGTTTCGGAGAAACATATGCTGCCTTTTAGACGCCGTCTTTTTTTGAGGGACTTCCATTTTGCATGTATTACAACAGTATGGCTGCATAATCAGTGGGTGCAGGTGCTAGACTGGCCTGCCTGTCTCCTATTGAAACTGTGTGGTGCATTATGCAGTGCAAAATATTACAAGACATCATATTTGGAATGAGCATATATTTACAAAAAAGCAATAAGGTAAAACATCAAGTATTGTGTTTTTAATGTAATACAGGTCAAACAAAACTTACTAATCACTGCTTTCTGTTTTTGCTGACTTCTCACATTCTGTCTCAACTTTTTCGGAATTGAGTTTGTAGTCTATTTTTAATAGCTTGGAATTTTTTGGGCAGCACTCGAATTTTGTTGCACTCATGTTTGTGCCTGCTGGGTTCCCTTAGGCCCAGGAACCCTGGGGACCCTGTGCATTGGTTCTCCCGATAATGAGGTACAGAGTATAGTGCAAGACTATAGTGCCTCAACTGATAAACAGCAGTAGTTATTGGTATTGACCTACCAAAATCCTGTCTTCTGATTTGCCGTTCTTGTTTTCTACCTTGACCGCTCGCGCCAACTTGATGGATGGCTTGTCAATAACTCTTCTGATGCTTTCTGTCAAAGAGAGAAAAGTGATGTTAATGGTCAGAAAACATGCATAGGTACTGTCTCTGGACTCTGTGCTACACCTTGCTATAAATAAACCCAGCCTGCGTGTTTAACACACTCCCACGCGTTTCATTGTTACAGTGTGCGTCGGTGTAAGTCTCTCATATCTTCCTGGTATGAAAAGGTGCAACTGCGGAGCGCTAAATGGCATGATTCACACCGCCTGAAACCAAGCTTCTGCGTTTTAGACTGTCCTTGATAAGTTGAAGGGGAAAAAAAACAATAAAACTTGTGCTTCACTTTCATTGCTCTGTTTTAATCACAGCTCTGAAATGAGGATAGCACTGCCTCACAGGAAAGGATCTGCACTGGCAGGGTGGGGGAGTGAGAGAGAGGCTCAAGAGAGGAAAAAAGAAGGAGAGAGAGAGAGAGGCAGATAAGTAGGGTAAGACAAACAGAGAGTTAATGCATCTGTAATCAACGTTAATCTCTGTAAAACCCAATCGCTTAAACCCCGAACGCTCCTCCAGACACTAGAAGGCCGAGGCTGAGCATATGTTCGCGTGAGAGAGAGAGGGAGAGAGAGAGAGAGAGAGAGAGAGAGAGAGATAGAGAGAGTGAGGGATGCACTTGCTAACAGCTTTGCCCATGTATGACTCAATTACAAATACATTCTATAAGAAAATCTCCCCTGAGTTTCTAGAACGCAGTAATAAAGAAGGAAAAGAACACCGTCTATGTCTTGGGGAAGAAATAGAGTGGGCTGATTGTACAAGCAGCAGAATTTATGGCATCTTATTATAACCTAAGGGGCGCCTAGTGAGGCAAAGCATCAGTTTATTACCTGCTCCAAAAATGTTGGGACAGTAGGAAAAATGTAAATAAAAAGAAAAATAATGTTTCAACTATTTAAATTCATTGTTCTTTGTATATACACAAAAATGGCCAAAAGTAAGTGGACACCTGACCATCACACCCATATGGCCACAACCGTGGGCATTAATATGGAAATGGCCTTCCCTTTGCAGCTACAACAGCCTTCACATGTGCCTGATTTTATATACCTGTTGGCAATGAATGTGGCTGAAACACCTCAACTCAATAATCCGGAGGGTTGTACGCAATATGTTCCAAAGAGCTGAGATGGGGCATGTTTACTGCTGTGTTACATATACAGACTAGAACACTAGAGTTAAGTTAGGTGCTGCTCCTCTGGCACAAGTCAGCCCACCTGTGATACACACTACTATATCAATAATCAAATTCACAAACTTATAAATAGATTGAAAATTCTATTTTCAACAACAAACAGTGCATACCACACAAAACAAACGAAAGACTGGAAATAATGTGCATTCTGACTAATTTTGATATTCGAAAGCCCACAAGAGATATCTGGTTACCTGTGGGTAAGGAAAAACATGATAAACAGCCCATAAAAAGGAATTCTGAGGAAACGAACATACAGCTGGGGGCTTATCCTTTAAGTGACAGCTTTGTTTTTAAGAGGTTTAAAAAATTAATAGCATAAAATCTAGCAGCTAGCAGAGGAATATGTTTAAAAACTTTTTATTTTTCAAAGAAGCAGGAAATTGATAGTTTTCAGATTGGATGAAATGGAGACTGCCTATTCAGATGAGCTAACACTAAAGCTAACTGTTACAACACTGGATGATGATGAGGGTTCATCATCTTCTACATCTTCTGGTCTATCCTCCTCAGTGGATGATGCTCCAGCATGTTGGTTTGTCAGAGAAATATATTTAAATATACATTTTAAATATGCAAGTGGTCAACAACCCTAGTCCTGAAGATTTTCTTCATCCTCATCCAACCACAATCTGCCACATCTTCTCTGGCTTATTAAATTCTCCAGAAATCAATTACTACAATTACTATTATTAAATATGTTCCACTAGAAATTGTTAAACGTTGTGCTTTGGCAATACAGTGCTTGATACAGCCATGAAGCTATCTTGACTTGAAATGAATCAGGCAATAAAGAGCAAGAAAGAGAACAAGAAAGAAGAACGAGCAAAAGATCAGAGGAGCAGGAGTCAGATGAAGTACAAAGAAGAAGGAAACACAGAATAGAAACATATATAGATATAAACAGAGATAGCAATAATAAAGAGAGCTGGTGAGGTGATCGCTACTATTACTGGACCATGACTACCAGAACTAGGCCTTCAGTTCAGGCTATAAATGTCAAATGAGGCCTGAAAACAAGAATAAAACTCAAGTGCCCATGTATAGCCGTCTACAGGAAGTAAACATTAGCCTATATAATGATAGGCTTAGAAAAGTGCAGTGTCATTTATCGCAATAACAATAAATATGGCAATGTAGCCCCCCCCCGTATCTGCCACACCTGCTCCGGCTTATTAACTTCTTCAGACGTCCTTGATTGGTTGGATCAGATGCATTAGTGTCAGGTAAGGTGAGGGAACAGCATGTTAGTATACTCTGCAGGAGGATGGTTGGTGACCACTGTAATAAGGGGTATTTGGTTGTGAGAAGTGGGCAGCAAACTCTGCCTCCAACTAGGGGTGGACGATTTGGCAAAAATATATGACAATACTTCAGTACATTTGCATGACACATGCTATGCATCACTATATTTGGTTTTTCTGATATATAATACGTTGAACCAGACAAAAAAGGCTGTAGTGCCACATATGCTGCTATAGTAATAATAAACACACAACTACAATGATTTATTCATTGTTTAACAAACTGCACTACACTAAATCCAATTAAACCGGCCTAATTATGCTCACTTTGTAACGAAACGTATAGTTAGTCAGTGTTCTTTAAGTGCTGACGATCGACGATATGCTCAGAAAAGTGACATAAGGTACCACAATAACAAGAAAATATCATCATATTGCCCACCCCACCTCCATCTGTGGGAGCAGATGCTTTGCTCTCTGCGCCAAATATAAAAACTCATTTGAGAGACGTTACCTTCCCTTGTTTAGAGGTTATTATAGGATAATGTGTTGTTTGGCTAATTTTGTGGGGCTGATTTGTAGACATTGCCTCTCGCTCCACCTCATACATTTGTGCCCCCTCGCCTATGCTAGGGGGCCAGTAGACCAGTACAAATCTAGGGTACATGTTCTCTTAAAAGGTTCTTCTCTCTTGTCTTCACTCTTTTACCCTTTATTGATCACTAATACTGTTGTAAACAGCTGTTTACCATCAACTGCTTTGGCAAATATGTACCTTGTAACTTCCATGTCAATAAAGCAGTGCTGAACTTGAACCCGAGAGAGACAGAGATGGTATAAGTGGGAGATTAGGGAGCGGATGAGCAGTCATAAGGAGGTTCTGCTCTATAGGCAATTGTCTAATGGAGCCACTTAACAGCCTCAGCTATTACTGCGCTGTCCGTTGCGCCTCTTCAGACTACATTAAAGCACAGAGAGAAGGGGAGGCTGAGATTACAGTTACTATCATTGAATATGTTCAGCTCGAAACTGTTAAACACTATGCTTTAGCAATACAGTGCATGACACAGTCATGCATATAAAGGCGTCTTAAACTGAAATGAATCAAATTGAGAGCGAGAAAAAGAGCAAAAGTGAGTAAGAAAAATGAAGCGAGCAAAAGATTAGAGGAGCAGAAAGAGAGAGAGAGGAGGTTATTACTGCTACTCAGTGGTGAACCACGACTATGAGACCTATAAATGTCAAAAACACAGCCAAAAAAACAAGAAAAACAACTGCAATGCTAATTTCTATTAGCGCTCCTGTGTGATTTCTAATAGTATGATAGCGCTAAGCTAACGCTGGTGTGCATGCATGTTTTTCAGCATTTGAAGCTTGTAAACAGACATTAACATACATTTTACTTCGCCTAGAACTGCTGCTGTTTTTCATTTCTAGCAACACACTGCTTGTATTCACAGTCAGTGATGTATCGAGGACTTCCAGAAGTCTTAGTGTGACATCTTTCTCATGAAACATGCCTCATCTATAGAAAATCAAAACATGACTGATTGATAGATTCCCATGTTTTATTTATGTTAGTGGTTTGTTTAACATTAGGCCTTCAGTTCAGCTCCTGAAGGCCTAACCAATGGGAGAGCTCACTTGGCTGTAACTACCTAGATACTGTAAAGAAAAAAAATCCTGATTGGACAATTTTGCATTGGTCATTTCAAGGTTTGAACCCTGTTGTTTCCAACAGTTAAATAAGTTGGTGTTTCCACAATACGTTCCATAAAAAAGTGTTTGAAATATAAGAAGTATGACAAAAAAACTAAAACTTCCCAAAAATCATTAGGTTCTCAGTGCAGGCCTAGAAGGCCCTGAGGATTCCTCTCTGCTATTATTATTAAATATGTTCAGCAAAAAAACAGGTAAATTATAAAACAGCTCTTTTCTACATGTTGGCAATATTGTAATTGATAACAGTCCTGCCAATAGAGCTGTCCTGGAATGAAGTGAATGAGCAAGTAAGAGCAAAACAGATGAGGGTAGTGAAAGATTAGAGAAGTAGAGGTCAGGTAATGTGCAAAGAAAAAAATAAAACATGGGGAGGGTATTATTATCACTGAATATGTTCAACTGTAAACAGTGACACTCTAAAACACTCCCTTTCTGATGTCTGGCAATATTGTACATAATGCATTCCAATCAGGGCTGCACCAATACTGCTTTTTCCCTTTGTGATACTAATACTGATACCTGATCTTTAAGGACCTGCTAATAAAGAGTGCCATACTAATTCTAACCTAACTACCTTATAAGTTCTGATATTTATACAATTCCACTTTTAAATATTTTACTTTGGTAAAATATGTGTTCTGTGTCACAAATAAAAACTACCATAGCTTTAATGAATGGCATTTATTGGCTAGATTATATTTTTAGAAGATTACGAAAAAGTATTTTTGCTTGTGTACTATCATGTAAGTAGTAATGAGAATGATATTTGTCAAAAGCAATGAAAGTAAATGTAAAATCATTCATTGTACAAAATATTTAAAATAGAACTGA